TGCATCCTCTGCTAAAATGGCTCAGCACCCTAACAATTCTGGAAACATCTACGAGGTCTGCTGAACTGCAGATGTTCCCCAGACTAATTAGATTGAGGGCTGAAGAAAACTGCTGTTACTTTATTAAATTCATACACTATTTACAAAGCCTCATTAAGATAATTTTTTTTTCTTGAGACAGGTCGTGCTTTGTAGTTCAGCCTGGCCTTGAACTCACTGTATAGCCCAGGCTGGACTCAAATGCATGGTGATCCTCCTGCCTCAGCCTCCCAAGGGCTGGGATTATAGGCCTGCACCACCACACCTGGCTACAAAGCCTCTCTAAAAAGAGTTGTAACATATTTTTGGCTAATTTGTATATAGTTACAGTATGTGTTGATATGGTTATATCTTGATAATTGTGGATGTTAACCACTGTGTTTGCGTACCCTATAGGCTCCTGAATAACACTTTTGGAATTATGGCTATTTTGACTATATTGGTTCTTCCTCTCCAGGAACAGAGGATAGCATATATTTTCTGGTGTCCTTTTCAATCTCTTTTTTTAAACTACTATAGTTTTCATTATAGAGGTCTTTCATTTTCTTTTTAGGGTAATCCCTTAGCATTTCATTTTACTTGATCCTGTTGTAAAAGGTACTGTTTTCCCTAATTTCTCTCTCAGTGAGATTACTTTTGTTGTACAGGAAAGCTACTGATTTTTGAGCATTGGCTTTATATCCTGCTACATTACTAAATTTGGTTATTAATTCTGTGAGTTTTAGGGTGGAGGTTTTGGAGGTATTTTATGTAGAAGATCATGCCATCTGCAAATAATGATAATTTAAATTCTTCTTTTCCTATCTGTATTTGTTTTATTTCTTTCTCTTGTCTGACTGTTTTGCTTATGTTTTGAGGACTATATTAAACAGGAGTGGTGACAGTGGGCATCCCTATCATATTCCTGATTTCCATTTAATTTGATGTTTGCTGTTGGTTTGTCATAAATGGCTTTTACCAGATTGAGATAAAGACCTGTATCTATTTTCAAGGTTCTTTTTATCATGAGTGGATATTTGATTTTGTCAGATGCTTCATGTCTCTTCCTTATTTTCTTCTCAGACCTATTGATTATTCAAAATAGTATTTGCTTAACTTTTCATGTTTTTTATAATTTCTGTAATTTCTTTTGCCACTGATATCTAATTTCATTACACCATTTTCTGATAATATGCATGGCATAATTTTAATTAGCCTGCATTTTCTTAAGCATGCTTTATGTGCTAGTATGTGATCTATTTTGGAATAAAGTCTCATGTGCTGCTAGAAGAATGTGTATTTTGTTGTTGCAGGTGAAACACTCTGTAGATATCTATTAAGCCCATTTGTTCAAAGATTTGGTTCTATTTATATATTTGTTTGTTATTATTTATTTTTTTGTCTAGTTGATCTATTTGTGACAATGAGGTCTCCAGGTATCCTATTACAGTTGTGTTGGCATTTATATGATTTTTCACGTCTAGCATTTTTTGTTTTATGAAGTTGGGTGCAGTAGTGCTTGGTGTGTGTATGTTTATAATTGCTATTTCTTCCTGTTTCTTTCCTCAACCAATATGCTGTGACCTTTGTTGTCTCTTCTGATCAGTCTTGGCTTGAAATCCACTTTGTCTGAAATTAGGATAGCTACTCCTCCTTTTTTTTTTTTTCTGAGTTCCTATTGCATAGAACGTTGTATTCCATCCTCTGAGTTTTAAACCATGAATTGCTTTTTGAATTAAATGTATTTCTTGAATACTCCATGTCATGTGGATGTGTTTAGTGATCCATTCTTCTGATCTGTGTCTTCTGATTAGGAAATTAAGACTATTCACCTTGAAAGTTATTGCTAAAAGGTACTGATTTTATTGCTGTCATGGTATTGTTCTATTGTTAGTTTTCCCTCCTTTTGCTTAGCTGCTCATTTGGCCTTGCATATTCTTTCTTTTTTTTTTACTTATTGACATGGTTGGTTTCATTGTCTCTTCCCTTGAGAATTTTTGTAATGCCAGGTTGGTGTCATAAATTTCTTGATGTTTGCCTTGTCATGGAAATACCTTATTTACCCATCAATTTTGAAGGAAAGTTTTGCAGGCTGTATAAGTCAGAGTTGAAAGTTGTTATCTTTTAGAACTTGCAACACCTCACTCCCAGTCCTTTTGATCTTTAAGATTTGTGTGTTGAGAAGTCTGCTGTAATTCTAATGGTTTACCTTTATATGTGATTTATTCTTTTCCTCTAATACCTTTCAAGATTTTGTCTCAGTGATGGACTTCTTTGAGTATTATGTGGCATGGAGAGTTTCTTTTTTGGTTATGTCTATTTGGGGCTTTTTATGCCTCACTTCTCTGTGTGCTTATTTCTTTCTCTGTGTTTGGGAAATCTTCTGCCATTATTTCTGTGAACAATTTTTTCTATGCCATTTGTGTAATCTCCTGATATTTTACTTATTTCCATTATTCTTAGATTAGTCTTCTTTGGATCATTTGGCAGCCACTGAATCCATTTTTCGAGTTCTCTTATTGCCTTTAAGGCATCTTTGAGTCGTTGGCCTTTGCTGGCATCATTGTCTACTTCTGAAATTCTGCTGTCACACTGGTCACGTCTGCTGCCCATGCTTTCACTATAATTTTTGGATTTCTGATTGAAGGCTTTTCACTGACTCTAATTCTTTGCTAAACTGGTCTTTTGTATTGTTTTGTTTAGCTCAGCTAGCTTTTGTCTTTTGAAACCTCCTGTATCACTTTGGTTATTACTTCCATTACCTTTTAGTTATATTTTTTCTGTGACCTCACTGAGTCCTTCTTTGATCTGTTTTCTAACATCCTCTGTTGTCCTTTTCAATAATTCTGGCGTGTGGCTTATGCTGGTCTCTCCCTCAATGTTCCCTGAATTGGCCTTAGGGTATTGGAAGTTTAGGAGGCATTTTGTTGCCTTGACTTCTCATGTTTCTATTGTGTTTGTTGTGTGTTGAAGTCTGTGGACATTTGTAGGGTAAAGGCTTTGTTGCTAGTACAGAGATCTCTAGTCAGTCACTTTTCATTGACATACTTTGGGCATGTCTAACTACAGTCCTTTGCTTCTGCCCCATGATCTGATTACCTTAGTTAATTTGGGAGGAAAGGATACAGTGTAATTTACACAACATGAAGTTTTCTGGAAATGTACCCCAGTGTTTTTAATATCACAAAGGTAACCTGAATGTTGACTCACAGAGAAATAACAGCAATTATGTGACCCTGGTAATATTAAGCAAAGGAGCTAACATAGTATCATCCAAGACAAACTGGATATTCACATGCCATAAGAAACAATTGCATACCACATTTAACCCTAAAGAAGAAATTTAACTGTAAATATCAGGACAACCTAGGTATTGACCCACAGCTAATCTGTACTAAGTATTGGCTACATCTCTGTTGACAGTAGAAAATATTTCAACTATAATTTTATAGTGTCAATTATCTAAAGACCAGTAAAGTTCTGAGGTTATAATATTAAAGATATAGGTGTTTGTTAACAGGTGAATGCAATAAGAAAATTTGAAATCTTAAATTATATGATATGAGGAGGACAGAGAAATGGGGAAAAGGATCATATTGGGGTGTAGAAGGACGTTTATGGAATTAGATAAAGGTAACAGGGAAACTTATGAGAAAGGCAGAAAATATTATATGGAGAATAAAAATAAGGGAAAAATTGTAGGGAGAAAAACTAAAAGGGAGATTGAATAAAAGAAGAAAAAGGAATGAACGAAAGAAGTAAGGAAAAGATATAGGAAAGAAAGAAAAAATGAATAGGAAAGTTCCCCAAAGCACAGCATGCATATGCGTGCACACAGACACACACACACACACTCACACACACACACACACACACTTATTTTTTTTAAATAAATATTTCTATGATTTTGAATGTGTGGTTTCTTCCAGGGCCTACAATTTCAGAGCAGTGTCTTAGTCAAGATATGTCCCTGTTCACACTGGTGGATAAAGAAGTTGATCCAATCCCAGGTCCATACTGGATGCATACAGGCAATAGAAGAGTAAGTTGAGGGTGGCAATGCCTAAACTTTCAAATCCAGAGCAATTCAGGCAGGCCTGGCCTCTTGCTGCAGGTGTGGGGTCTATGTTCTTAAAGCGCTCAAGAGGCCTCTTTCCAGACTATACCCAGACCCAGCTGTCTCTCCATGGCTGTCTCTCACCCAGTCACTGTGGAAATGTCACACAGGGGACCCTAGAGTGAAGCCATGGGGGTGCTCTGACTCCCATGTTCAAACAATCAACCCTTCCCCGGAATGGAGTCAAAGCAAACACTCCCTCTAGGGAGATGACAGGTGCTTCTAGTAGAGACATTCCCCAGTTGTTGTTTGTCAAATGACTCCCATGAGAGTAGAATTCTGTGCTGTTCCAGCAGATCACAGCAACTGCTAGTCTGTTCTGCTGCCACATTTCTCCCGGAGACATCCTGGTAACCCCAGCACTTATTTTGTCTCTGTAGGTTCAGTCTCTATTTCCTGTGAGCTATAAGCCAGGATCCAAGCAGCCAGTGCAAACTGTCTCTTCCCTTTTCCATGTTGCATTCTGTCTATTTAATTCTCTGTAGCTTTTAATTTTCCTGTCAGATCTCTCCTGGTTCCTTGGATCTACTTCATCCTTTTTTTTTTTTCTTTCCCAAGTTGTTATTTTACAAATCTTGGAGTGGCTGAGTTGTTGTCGCTCATTTTTTCCTACAGATGTTTTTTAATGGTGAACAAATACTGGTAGAGCTTGGTTGTATGTGTTACACCAAAAATTCCAGACAGTTTTATAGGAATTGGTACACCTTTAACAGCATTATTCCTAGAGATTCCCTTTGAGGTGACAAAGTTGATAGTTTTGTAACAGTTGAGTGAGCCAAAACTGTCCAGGTTCTTGTGTATGGTGAGGAAAGAATTGCCAAGCATACACTCTGGAGTAAGTAATATGTAGCTGCTTTTTGAAGATCAGTGAGAAGGTAGCAGCAGGAACTAGGAAAAGGGAAAAGGAGCAAAAGAGGCCAATAACTCAGGCTTTCAGAATTTAAAGTCCAGATGCCTCTGACTTTAGGTTCACCTACTAAATCTATCACTGGTGCCAGTGCTCTGCCACCTAGGGCATGGCGATCTCTTAGGCTTTTGTTATTTTATTTTGTAACTCTTTTAAGAAAGTGGAAGCATGGGAAACCATTAAAGTAGTGTTTACAGTTGAATGTAGGGGAAGGAGTGGCTCATTCAGCTCTCTATTGCTAACTGCATTAGTTTCATAGTGTATTAGTCAGTTTTCTCTTACTATAACAAAATACCCAACACATCAACTTATAAAGAGAGAAAGTTCAGTGAAGGGGGTGAAAGGAGGACAGGGGTATGGGGGAAAAATCAAGAACCAAGACATATCATGTAAAGGTACAAGATCCCAATGATAAATGTAAGTCTAACTTTTGCTTTTAATGCACCAATAAATTTAATGGGAAAAAAAGAGGGAAAGTTCATTTTGGCTCACAGTTTTAAAGGTTTCAGTCAATGGTTAATTAGCCATGCTGCTTTTGGGCCTGCGGTGAGGCAGAACATCCTGGGGGGAGCATGTGGTGGTTAAAAAGAGAAAGAGCACACAAAAGACCAGGGCAAGCCCCCTAGTGACTGAAGGCTGCCTCCTAAGCATCATCTCTTAAAAATTCCACCATTTCCCAGTGGGGCCAAGGGCTAGGGAAGCAAGCCTTTGACATATAGGCCTTGGAGGACATGTCAGATCTGAAGGAGACACATGTAGTGACTTAAGCTAACGTACTGAGCATTTACTGTGCGAACCTGGTAGCGAGCATGCCATTGAAGGCTCCCGCTGTCTAAATAAGTACCTAACAAAGCAGAATCGGGGGTCAGAGAGAGGAAGAGACTCACCAGAATGTCCCCAGATCTCTGAGTGCCAGAGCTGGACTTCAGCTTTCGTTCATCTTGGAAGACAAGGAAAATAATACATTTAAAATTGTACTTTTTTATATAAACTGCAAGTTCAGAGCACAGACTCAGTCCAAAAATATTCCTAAGGTCCTCGAAGACACAATAGGCCTAGGCGATTCCCTTTTACCTGCAAATGGACCCCACCATTGTTTTTCACTTAAAAATGCCCCACATCCCCAGTGATGGTCACCACCCATGGATGGACCCCATTCCCTTCCTCTGCAGAACAGGACCACCTCTTCTAATAGATCCACAGGTCCCATGGATTCCCACCCCCAATTCCCCAATGTACCCAGCTCCAGTCTGTGATGTGCCTATTTCCTTACAATTCTGCCTAACAAATCTTTTTATGTCTCTTCCTGACATGTCCTGAAGATTCTTTCTCTGCGATAAGAGTCAACAAACTCACTCTGAGGGCAGTGTGGGCTTAGGTCGTCCTCCTCCATGTTGGGAGCCCTCTGGACCCTGACCAATGGTAAGGCCAGAGGAGGAAGGTGGATGGCCTTGGAAACACATCAAGGAGGTTGGCCTTCATCCTGCAGGATAAGGTAAGTCACTCAACTGTTTTAAGCAGGAGAATAATGTGATTACAAAGCAAGGTTAAAGGTGATGATCAGGAAGAGACCAAGGGAGAAATGGAGAAGGAAAAAGGCAGCACATTTACTTAACAGCTTCCTGGTCTATATTCTACTGGAACCTAAATATTCCGCAGGCCGCAGCTAAAGGGACAGGGCCCTCAACCTGACCAGCTTATTGAACAGACCAATAAAGATTGACTTGACAGAATGGTAATGGCAGGCTCTATTCCTCAGCCCAGCAATTTTCTTATAATTGGAGAAAGAAAATGCTTGTCAGCCTAAGAAAGGCCTGGTACTCAGTGGCAAATGGGAAGTGATAGAATTTTCAGGAGTTTAGATCTCGTGGGAGGTCTTGAAGTCACTGTGAAGTCACACACCTTTAGGGGACACATCTCCAAACAACAGGAGGACAGTACCCTCTGAAACTGCAAATTTCTGTGAATGTTCCTGGGACAGGGTCTGTAGCTTTCATCATATTTTAGAGGCATTCAGGACCCACAGACTGGGAAGTTTCAGCTCTAAAATTCCAATATTCTAGATAAAGATTGATTCTTTGGGATGGTTTAATCCTAAATGAGAGAAAGGACCATATGGATTTTTATACCTTTTTTTTTTTTTTTTTTTTTTTTTTTTTTTTTTTTTTTTTTTGAGACAGGGTCTCACTATGTAGTTCTGACTGTTCTGGAACTCACTGTGTAGCCCAGGCTGGTCTCAAACTCTCAGTGATCCTCCTGCCTCAGCCTCCCAACTGCTGGGATTACAGGCATGTGCCACCAAGCCTGGCAGATTTTTGTACTTTTTAACAAGGAAATTTCAGCTCCAGACTCTTCTCAGTGCCTACATTAGTGCACACATCAATGCTGTGTCATCATTAGTGTAAATGTGTTTGCAGAGCATTTTTCTAGGCCAAATGTGTAAATCTGACTCGTGCCTATAGCATTAGAACTACAAGAGGCAAGCTGACCTGAGCAGAGGTACAAACCCTGCTGGAGGTAGGGGAGGGTGAAGGAGCACCAGATGCTGAGGGACTGGCTCTGCCCGCAAAAGCATGGAGGGTTGAGACCTCTGAGAGTTCTGGAGCCCAGGTGGCCTGTTGAGAAGAGGCAGAGGTGCCCACTTCCTCCAGGCTTTGCTGTTGCAACTGCGTGTATCTAAAGGCAAACACCACTTCCCACCTTGCAGTGATTCATGTTGATGATTCCTTGGTAAAAAGCAGGTGGGTGGGAAGGTCTCTCAGCAGGAAAAGGGTTTGTTTTTTTCTTTCTGCTGCTTTGTGACTCACTTTTCTGTGATACAGTAATAAATTTCATCCTTTGCCTCTGCTGAGCTGCTGCCCCTCCTGAAGCAGCCACATTAGGGAGGGTACAACATTCTTAGTGAGCATCACAAAACTGCCGCCTTGTTCCCCATTGGTGTGTGTGTGTGTGTGTGTGTGTGTGTGTGTGTGTGTGTGTATTCAGAGTCTGGCAGATTTGTGTTAAAAGGTATGAAGCAGCTCCTCATTACTCTAATGAAATAGCTGAGATAATTAGAAGAGAAAATTTTTATTTGGCTTATGGCTTGGAGGTTCCACTCCAAGATCAGTTGGCCCCATAGCTTTGGGCCTCTGGTAGGGATGCTGGATGGCAACTATGGGGACTATGGGGCAGAACAAACTGTTCACATCACCATCCAGGAACAAAGACAGGAAGGGGCAGGGTCTTTGAGATTCTGAAGACCCAAGACCCAAGACCTTTTTTTTTTTAACCAAGGATCAAACTCATGATCTTGTGCTTGTGAGGCAGGTGGCAGCACCACTGAGCTAAATTCCTGGCCCCAAGACCTCTTAAAGACAGCTTTCCATCGGTGCTAGATTGGGTACCAGCCCCTTAAACCATTGAGCTTTAGCAGACACTTAGCCAAACCACACCAGTGATGATGCCTGCTAATTGGGCTAGCTGATTTTGGCTTTGCCAAGGACCGCAAATTTATTATCAATGGTTTGGGCTGTATCTGTGCTCTGACTTCTTTCTTTATAAAGGAGAATATTACATAAACATGGTAATGCTAGTCCCCATTCCTCAGAGCAATATCATCCCTTGGCCTACATTCTGGTGTTTACAGGAGAGGCCTCCAGTTTTCCTCTCCTTCTGTATTAGTCAGGGTTCCCCAGAGAAGCAGCGCTGATAAGATTATAGAGAGAGACAGAAAGAGATGCACTATGAGGCACTGGCTTACATTAGTGTGGAGGCTGAGCAGTGCCACGATGTGCTATCTGCAAGCTGGAGGCCCAAGAAAGCTGGTGGTGTGGTTTTAGATTTAAGAACCAGGGGAGGTAATACTAAGTCTCAGTCCTGAGAGGCCTGAGAATTGGGTGGGAGGTTAATATTATAGGCAGTTAAGTTAGACAGAAATTAATACATAGTCAGAGAGGGACCCGTTCTCAAGGAAGTCAGTGGAAAATAAAGACATCAGAATTGAGCACGCAGGCCCATCTGAAGAAGGCCAGGCCTCCAAATATAGATGCAGTGGCCAGACCTACGTACCTTCCTGAGGCATCAATAGTAACTTGGAATTACTCTGTCATTTGCAGTGGCTGGTTCACGGAATCCAGATAGGCATCAGATGCCCAGATGGGTGACCAGAGCCTCTGGATTCATCCATTCACCAAAACGCCTTTGTTCTTTCCGCGTACACTTGCAATGGGACCCACTTCCCTCCTGGACCAATATCAGCTAAGCAGTCCCACTTGTAGTCCTATAGGCTGATTGTAGTCTGACCCATGTTGCACCCAGGTTGTGACTTTGCTGTATAAATCACCCCTGACAAAGGGCCTTGGTGGCCACCCACTCAGGACTCACTCAAAACCTGTCCCTCTGGAGCCATCTCTATAAACTCTTCTTACACTGAACCTCTGTTGCTCCTTACAATTCATTCTTCAACTTCAGGGGACACGAATGTGGCATATCTGACATCTAGCAGGTTGGGAATTCTATTTCTCCGATATTAGTAATGAGCTAAATCCTCATCTGAGCCCGAAACCCAAGAATCAGAAGTGCCAATTCCAAAAGCAGGAGAAATGGGTGTCGTAGCTCAAGCGAGGAGCCAAATGCTCTTTTCCTCTCTTTGTTTTCTCCAGGTCTTCAATAGGTTGGATGATGCCACCGGCACTCTCCTGCACTCAGTCTGCTGATTCAAAGGCTCCTCTCCTCTGGAATTATACTCAGGCACAGGCAGACATCTGGGAGGCCCTTGGCCCAGTCAAGCAGACTCTGAAAACTGCCCCTCCCATCATCAGGTGTGGAGCTCTGCCTCTGTCTGTGTTACACATTGGATTTTCACAAATTTTTATTGGATTGGAACGTAGAGGATTGATTTGAAACCTATTGGCTTGAAACACAGTCTGATAAAAGGTGGCCTCATCCAGGAGCCGCCCGAGAAGTCTGTATTGGAATGTCTCAAACAAAACAGAAAACTCCATACTTCTCAGATCTCCTCCCCCCTCAGTCTTCATCATACTGTGACATGAATTTTAACTGATTTTTTCCTTCCTGGACCATGAACTCCTTAAGGTTAGGGTAGCTGTAAACTTGGGCTTTCTATCATTCTTCAGTGCTGTAAAAAAACTTCACAGTTTTAAAAGGCCACCAAGCCACCTCTCTAAAGGTTATCTGGTAACCAACATAAACATATCTAGATTGTTCACCAGTTGCCAGGAGTTAGCCTACTGTAACTGTATTAATTTCCTTCTTCAAAATAAAGGTGTATCCTGTGAGGTCAAAACCCTGCATACCTTTCACCAATGGGCACACAATAGGGGAAAAAGGTCTGCAATCATCAGCTCTCTTTCATTTGGAAAGCACATGGAGGCTTACTGAGATTAAACTGATAAACTTCCGAACAGTAACTTCAGCCTATAATGAACTGCGCAGTTAAAAAGGAAAAGGGGTAAATGAATGAAGGAATAAATGTGCTGTTTTTACAATACAATCCAACTGATATTTTTATATTCTCCTTTTTCCTAAACTTTCCTCTTGTAAGTTTGACCTTTAAAACAATGCATTTACTCATGAAGATTTTTATGGATGAGGGAAAAGTAGTTGGCTTTGAGAAGAGCTGGAAACTTCAGAGTTGAACTGGAAAAACTAATTGGAAGTATTACTGTCATGGAGAATAATAGATATTTCAATTTAATTCCCAAGTTGTTCAACTCTATGAAACCACATGGGAATACAAAATGCCAAGCTTCCAGCCACATAAGATTTAAAAAGCAAAAATGCTGGGTAATATGCTCTGCAAACCCAAGTCCTCTTGAGAACCTGCTGGATACCTAACGTTTAGGTCTGGCAGCTAAAGCAGAGATCCCCAACCACGGTGGCCGAGGAGACAGGAGCTCCCTCTCAGCCCACCATTCAGCTGAAAGTGGGCCAGGCTGAGCCGGCTGCATCCGGCACCTAAAGTCCTGGTTCTGACTGCCCCGACGTGCCTGGGCATCCCTCTTCTACGTGACCCAGTGTGGCTCACTCCTTGCTGGCATTGCAGCCCCTTTTTGGGCAGCACCTGGCACTTGTGCATAACTTCCCCGGTCAGTCCAGGTGGGCCAGGACCTGGCCATGCGTCTGTGCGCTCGTTCAAAACAAGGGATTTCATGACTGCAGAGGAAGGGACTGAGCTTCTGTGGACAATCACAGTTTTCTCTCACATTGTCACTTCAAGTGTCCTCAGATCTAGCTTTCATTACAGTCACCTCTATATCTTGGAATTGGGTCTGCATCTGTGGACCTCCGTGGGCTCTTTCCTCATTACAGAAAGTCACCTGGATTGGCTTTTCATGTGTCTTAAGAATGATGCCACAGGAGTCCAGTGTCAGACGGTCCATGGGATTTTACATCCAAATACAAACAGAGCTAAAGACCTAAGAAACGCTGCTACCAATTTTAATATTTTACTCTGAAAGCCAAGGTGACAATTTTATGTCCAGGCTAAGGATTCCTCAGAGAGTACTCCCTGATCCCCAGTCACTGTGGCTTTTTTCAGCTTAGTTCCAAGCTGCAATTC